GAGCTTCCTATATCAGATGCATTCCACCAAAAGGCACCCTTCAGTTACATTCCAGGGGTGCACTGACCCATCACTCACAATCAGATCATAACACACCAGATCCAATACACCCTTCCATCACCAATAGCAAGACAAAAACAAAACACCACAATGCAACAGTTCAGCACCCTGTAGACGTCCCCGAACGCCCCGGGAGGAACGAGTCCCCCGTTCCGTTCGATATTGGGCCCACTACAACTCAGGACTCTCAATTTGTCACGGTTCTAAGTCTGAACCAAAGAGTCCAAATCCGGCAAATCATTTTGAGAAAACAAATTTTTGAAAGAAGTGCCAAACATGGACTGCTTTGCCAAATACAGAAAAGATCAGAGTCGCCACTAAATATTTATTTTGGGGAAATTTGGAAATCCTGACTCGTTTGCCTAAGGCCACCGTGTTCGTCATCACCAAGTTGCCTGTCGGGAACTTGGGTACGTGGGAAGGCACTTCGTGAGCACCCCGCTCGCCCGATCAAGATCGGTTACTAACCATGATATCAGTTTGAAAAATTGTGTGTTCTTATTCCGGTTTTTGCCCTAGATTCTATGTGATGCGCACAAATTCAGTATGACTGGATCGCCTGAATGGAACAAAACATTTCATGGTTTGTTTGTTTGAAAATGGTTTGATGGTGCTACCCGCAAGTAGGCTAAGACGTGGATTTGCCACCCTCAGGTGGGCTAGAAAACATGATTTTGCCACTATCTAGTGGGCTTAAAACACACATTTGATGAATTATTCTAATCCAAGTAACCCAACCTTCACCCACAGGCATTCAGGCAGTTATATCACATAAGCAATTAGCCTCATGGTAAGCATGCTATCATGGCAGTCACTCACACACATGCAAGGATGCTAAAGCATAAAACTTACCGAGTACTCCAAGCCAAAACAGAAGCTAATTAGAAATCCATGCATGATCCTAACTATACAAAAATGCCTAATGCAACACATGCAAAAATGCAACTATAGCAGGCTCGGCTATTCTAAACATGGCATATGAAATGCTACAGCTAACATGTATTCAATTTGGAATTGAAATACAATGCAGTTAGTATGATGCGCCGAGCCCGGTGCATACAAAATAAATGAATGAATGCAAACATGCTATCATACTGTATGCTAATTGAAATATGCCCTAATCTAACTATCATAAGCAGGTAAATAAAAGGGAGAAAGACGTGGGGTTGGAAGACATGCATCACACACACGCACACTTATTACAGTTGTGCCCTCGCACGGAGGGTCCGAATAAAATAATATACAGTCCCAAATGATTATTACAGTCCAAATATGTACAAAACCCTAGTTAATTACCAAATTAACTAAGAAAACAATAAAACTGGCATGCAAGCCAGGGATTGCCTTGACTCTTCTCCGGATGATGAATGATACATGCTCGGGTTGCCTTTGCACGAAAATCCACTGCGATGCTCCAATTAGCCTCTGTTTTGCAATGATTTCTTGGAAAGCGCGCCAAGCCCCAGAAGACTACTGATTCTTGATTTGCTGCAACAGAGAGCAGGAAAAGGGCATGGCAATGTATTTTCACAAATGTATGCATGTCTCGATCCTCGTGCCACCAATCACGCATCTCGATGCATGAATGGCCGAGGAGTCGAATTGTGCAACTCAATATAGAATGAATGCACATGAAAACAAAACAAAACCTAGACTCCATCATGGATAATCCGGAGTGTCGGCGACTGGGAATTGAGACACGTTCCGTCATTCGGAGTATGAAACGTACCTCGTTTCCCGTGCTTGGGCTAATTCCTATCCCAAGCACAATGCAATATGCATGATATGCATAAAATGCAACTAAGATACAACCTAACATACACAATGCTATGAAATGGCATACACGATGCACGAGGTAACATGGCATACACAATGCGCTAACATACAACCTAGCATACGCAATGCTATGAAATAAAATGGCATACACAATACATAAATGGACTTACACTAACACAAGTGGACCTCAGCCACACTCGCATAAGAGGCCATTAGATGAAAATGAGACACTCGAGATGTGTGCACACATGCACGCAAACCGAGGACCGACCCTAGGGCACCGAATGCCACTCTAACGAGACATGGCAAGGCATGGAATATGGAATACTAGCATGAAAATTTCAGTAGCAAAAAAAGATGCAAAACAGCCCCGAAACATGGCAATATGGTACCCGATGCATGAAATGGTACCCGAAATGCAAAATTAGGCATACGCAATGACCTATAGCTATACAAAGCATGCATTATTTGATCATGAAACATGAATACAGATTCAAGGCAGTCCCAAAAAAAGCATATTTACAGTTTTAAGCAAGGCCAAATAGTGAACACAAATGGGGCTAAGCTAACATGCAAAAATGGCTCCGAAAGAGAGATAATGAAGCAAGTGGCAGCTGCTGTCCCTAAACAGAGAAGGGCCCTTCTACAATGTTGAAGAGGGGCCCAAAATATGGTATTCTACAGTTGGTGGCCGAGCCAAAAACAGTACACAAGCATGCTCAAAATACTATACAAAATAAGGCCTAAAAAGAGGTCTAAACACAAGGAGGAAAAAGGAAATATCAAACAGCAAAAGACCCTTGATGAAACATGAAGAGGGGGTAAAAATAAGGCTATTTACAGTTTGGACCAAAGTCCAGAAACACAAACACAAGGGGCTAACAAATCATGTAAAAATGAGGCCAAAAGAGGGATATAAAGGCAAGTGGAAAAAGGGAGCCACAAACAGTGATGAGCCCTTCAACAATATTGAATAAGGGCTCAAAATAAACTTTTTTACAGTTTGGACTAGAGCTCAAAACAGTTTACATATAGGCCTAAAATAATATGCAAGAAAATGACATACAAAGGAGGTAATGAAGCAAGTGCAAAAAGGGAGCCTCAAACAGTGAGAGGCCCTTAAACAAACATGAAATAGAACTCAAAAAAATGATATTTTCAGTTAGGGTCGGAGCCCCAACATGCAAGCACAAAGAGCTAAGATGTGAACCAAGAAAAGGGTCAAAAATGAGAGAAGAGGACTTACCCTTGAAGACTAATCTTTGACAGCGTTTTGGACCAAGAAATGCTGCCTCCTAAGCTCTGAGAAGACCCTCCAAGCTGCTGGAATGGAGTGGTGATGTGGTGCTAGGTGATGGTGAGGAAATGGTGTAAGAATCAAAAGGGTTTTTTAAGGCTTAGAATAGAGAGAGAGAGAGAGAGAGATTTAATGTGAGAGCTCCAAACCAAAATTTTCTAACCCCTAAAACACAGCTGGGGGGTCTGTTATATAGACACAAGAGGGTGGAAAAGAGGGGGAAAAATGGGGGGGAAATGAAATTCAAATTTCCCTCCAAAATTGGCCTAAAAGGGAGATAAAGGGGCAAGTGATAGTAGGAGATCTCAAACTGAAGAGAGCCCTTCAATAAAGTTGAAGAAGGGCTCAAAATAAGACACTTTGTAGTTTATGACAAGCCACGAAAATAAATACAAGTAGGCCTAAACTATCATGCAAGAAAAGACCTAAAAGAGGGGTAAAGAAGCAAGTGGCAGTAGGAGATCTCAAACAGCAAAAGGACCTGAATCAAACATGAAAAGGACCTCAAAATATGACTATCTCAAGTTTGGGACGGAGCCCAAAAATACAGAATGAAGGTTCGGGAGCCAAAACACGCAGTTCGGGGCCCCGAAAGTGGGCTGTTAGGCACCGGAAATGGCGTCCGACCACGAAGTTGGTCTCTCGGACCGCAGTGTCCCTCAAAAGGGAGTAAATAAGATGCATGCCAAAAACTGGAGCAAACGGAGGTGGTTAAGCGGTCCCGAATCGAGGCACACGGCCAACGGCTCCGAAAAACCGGAAACCGGACTCCAAACAGGCAAAACGGCCTACGACCATGAAACGTAGCCTACGGCCACTGAGAGATGATCTACGAGACCTCTCCCTCCCTTCGGGAAGAGAAAACAGAGAAAACGGAGCCTGGTTCGCAAACCGAGACAAAGCACAAAAGAGTCTGGAAGTCCGGAGGCAAGGCTCGCAGCCGAGACTCTGAAACTTCTGAATGAGCACAATATGCAATATCACCGAGCGCTCAACTGGTGACGTCTGAGTCTCAAGGTCGGTAAAAAATGAGGTGTTTACACACCCTTCCATTTGACAGCAGCCCAACAAAAAACCACATTTACAGTAGGCCAACCATTTGACAGCAGCTCCAGAGAATGTACTCCAGGCCTCCTCAGAAAACATTCTACTTGACACAGTAAGCAGCAGATAGATACCAAAGCTACACCATAAACTTCACTACCAAAGATACACCAAAAATACCTCCCACTTCATTCTGGACAACATCAAGCTACACCTCAAATTATGGCATGAACTAAAGCATGATATATATCAAGATTCGACATCAACATCTGTATCAAAATCACTTTGTAAGTCATATTCTTCGTCTGTGTCGTCACCCTCCCTCATTAATCCATCTTCATCATGACAGATGAAGGCATCATCTGTAACACCCTTGGCTTCTACCCCTCTGACAGATTGCAAAACTTCCATGGGAATAATTTCAGATTCAATATCATCTCGACGCAAAACCACATCATCATCAATAGCCATAGCAGGTATGACCTCGGTGGTTTCTTCTTGTTGAAACATATCATCAGGTTGTACGACATCCATCTCTGGCACATCCCAAATTCCTCGATGTTGGAACTTTTCAACGACTCTCCAATTGGTACCTAATTTGGTGTCATTAACATAGAATACTTGTTCAACATGACTTGGTAATACAAAATGAGTCATCTTTGTACCATCGACTTGTTACATCAACTGTTGTGAAATGCGGTTCTACACGCATAGTTCTACTACTACCACTGTTAAACCATTCACATTGGAACAATACAATCCGACGTCTGAACAAATAGTTCAGTTCCTACACTCTGCACAAGTGTCCATAGAAGTATATCAATTACCCTTCATGCTCCCCTTCCACGACTAATCCACTATTCTGACTTTTCCGACGGTTGTTACGGTCGATAGTATGATAACGGACACCATTACAAATACATCCTGAATATGTGTTCACTAAGCCACTAGGACCATTGGCTAATGACCACATATCATCAGTTACTTCGGGGGAAACTTGGCTCCGCAATTCATTCATCTACACGAAGAACATGTGTCATGTTACTAGCATGTGTGACATTTACATAATGTACGATCTATGGTAGGATATGAGAATACTAGCTTACATGATCTTTGAACCATTTAGGAAATTCTTTCCGATGTCTGTTTTCGATGTCGAACGCACCGGCTCTCTGGTGTAACCAGTTCTTGTGCTCCCTAGTTACAAGAAATGCGATTCAAAAACTATTTACTAAGATAAAGACTAATCAATTTACAACAAAAACATTAAGGCATATGTTTGAAGGATTCATACTCTACGTGTTTATCCACTTCTGTGCTATTGTGTAGGACAAACCAATGAGCCAACTCGCGTTCAGCTACGGACACATCGGACGCCCTTGTCATTAGACCAAAGGGACGTACAGTTTGAGTGAATACCGCCAACCCTGGGCCACGGTCACCCACGTCATAATTCCTTTCTGGGCGGTTAAACAATGTTTCAACTCCATCCAAATACATTGAACAAAATGTTGTACATTCTTTGAAAATGTAAGCCTCGGCAATAGAACCTTCAGGATGAGCTTTGTTGGCCACAAACCCTTTTAGACGGCCAAGCAACCTAATTTTGCAAGCCAATGACAATGTTATACTGCAATATTTATATCAGCAGTAAAGCGTTAACTTAAATTTGATAGTAATACGAGGGCTAAGTTAATACCTCTCAATTGGGTACATCCATCGATATTGCACTGGGCCTCCAAGCATAGCCTCTCGAGGCAAGTGAATTGCCAAGTGGACCATGACATCGAAAAAAGCTGGCGGGAAAATCATATCAAGCTTACAAAGTATGAGTACGATTTGTTCATCCAATTTATGCAAATCTGAACACCTCAATGTCTTTGAACACAATTGTTTGAAGAAATTTTCCAACTCAAAAAATGTCGTTCCGATTTCCTTATTAAGGTAGCCACGCATCCCAATTGGAAGAAGTCGTTGTATAAGGACATGACTGTCATGACTTTTGAGGCCAGATAATTTTCCAGCTTAAGCGGTCACGCAATTGGAGATATTTGCTGCATAGCCATCAGGGTACTTCATTGATTTCAAGAAATCACAAAAGCCTTCTCTCTCTTTCACCGACAATGTGTACAATGCGGGAGGCTTCTCAAAGGACCCATTAGAACGCCTCTTCAAGTGTAACTCTTTACCTATTTTCATGTCCTCCAAATCTAAGCGTGCTTTGTCCGTGTTCTTGTTCTTTCCATCTACGCTCAAAAGTGTCCCAACGACATTGTCACATATGTTCTTCTCAATATGCATGACATCAAGGTTGTGTCGAAGCTTCAACGTTTTCCAATAGAGCAAGTCAAACATAATGCTTCTCTTGCTCCAATTCAAATTTTGATGTTCATTCCTTTGTCGTTTTCGATTTTGTAGGTGCTTTCCATATGGCTTGTAAGTCCCAGAATCAATTTGCTTTAGTATTTGGTCCCCCGATAAGTCCAAAGGTTTGGACCTATGCTCCGTTTGACCATTGAAGAGCTTACTTGTTCGCCAAGTGTGGTTCTCAGGCAAGTGGCGACAAGCACCTATATACCCTATTTTACTTCGTAATCCCTGGGACGATGCATTATTGTTACAATTAGGGCAAGCCAAGTAACCCTTTGTACTCCACCCTGACATGTTGCCGTACGCAGGGAAGTCATTTATGGTCCACATTACCGCCGCATGCATTCTAAAAATTTGCCCGTTCGATGCATCATATGTTTGCAGACCATGTTCCCACAAATTCTTCAATTCTTCTATTAGTGGTTGTAAGTAAACATCAATGTCTCTTCCAGGTGCCGAACGTCCGGGAATAAGCAATGACATCATGCAATATGGCTCTTTCATGCACTTCCACGGTGGGAGATTGTAAGGCATTAAGATTACGGGCCACATGCTATATGATGTGCTCATATTCCCAAATGGATTGAAACCATCTGTTGCCAGCCCTAGCCTTACATTTCGAGAGTCATCAGAAAATGTCGGATGTTGCTTATCAAAGTCCTTCCATGCTTCCCCATCGGCTGGGTGCCTTAATATGTCATCATCCACATGCTTCTCATTGTGCCATCTCATATTTGCGGCTGTTTTTTTGGACATATACAGTCTTTTCAACCTCGGTGTCAAAGGAAAGTACCGCAATACCTTGTGTGGAATCTTTTTACCACCATTATCGTTCAAATTGTATCTACACGCGTCACATGTAGGGCATTTCTTCAAATTAGCACTCTCCTTCCAAAATAGTGCACAATCATTCTTGCACGAATGAATTGTTTCATATCCCAAACCCAAGTCACATAAGAACTTCTTAGCATCATAGAGTGTCCATGGAACTGTTGGATCACATTCTGGTAGAATGTCCTTGAATACCTGCATAACCATATCGAATGACTTGTTGCTCCATTTGTTGTACACCTTCACATGAAGCATCTTAATGACGAATGATAACACAGAAAACTTTTCACATGTCCGGTAAACTTTGCGTTGTGCATCTTTGAATAACCTAGTGAACTTATGAAAATCCTCCCTCTCCAAACCATTAGGTTCCTCGTCAGTATGATCATCCATAAGACCACTCACATAAATTTCTTCCAACATAATAGGCAATTCATCCATGGGCGGATCATCGATATCTGTCATACATTCGCCACTACCTCCATATTGGTCATTTGATACACTAGGACGAGACACGGGAACATGTTCCCCGTGATGCACCCAAGTTAGATACGAAGATGCCATGCCTCTTCGGATCAAGTGCATCCACACAACTTGTCTGCTATATTTTGTGCCATTAATGCAATCGATACACGGACACCTAATTTCATCCTCTACGCCTAAATTTGCTGTAGCAAAATCAAGGAATGACTTCACCCCTTGTTGATACTCTTTACTTGTCAGCCTATTATTTATCGTCATCCAACTCTTGTCCATTTTGTCACCTACAACTCATACAAAGATTAATCGGGGAACAAATGAGAACACGCATTTCAAGTTGAGATAGATTATGTTGTTTTTCATTCACTGTTTGGCTTGTCACATAAATCTCTTTAGGGTGGAACTTTATGACACGATTTGTTCTAAAACAATGCGTAATTATGGAAGTTAATTTAAGAAATGACCCATAATTTTGGACCACTAGATAGCATAACTAGTAGAGCACTAGTACTAGTGAAACCATATGGTCAATAATAGAATGATATATCAAAATAATCAAAACCATTTTATTATGAATACTACTTTTATATAAAATGATATAGTTTATTATGATTTCTTCATTTACTATTATTCTATAGTTTATAAAATAAAATAAAAGAAAACTATTCATACATCAGTCTCGATATATTTTTTAAATTATATATATTTACAAATCATTTTCTTTTAGCCAAACAAAAAAAAAAGTGTAAAATGAATTTTTAGTATGAAGCAACGCTTCAAAAACACCAAATAATTTTTGATTGGAGGCCCTTTGAAATTGTGGAATACCACAATTATAACCAATAAATCTGCAAATATAGCTGCTTGGATGAGTCGCTCTCCTTGCCTCTCATTACGTATTTGTTTGGTGAATCCTCAGTTATAGATGCATTTCAAAAAATAAATGCATAGCTCATGTGAGAGTGATTTATCATTATAACTTGGCAGCCTTGCATTGTTCATACACACAAATCAACAAAAAGTGTCCTAGTACCCAACCATCTCTTACATAGAGCATAACATGACTCATAGACAGATCAGTTCATATATACACACACATTTTAATATATACAGTCATACATGAACACATACAGTCACACACACACTTCTTCAGTCACACATGATCCGAACCGTTCATTATATATTAGTTTAACTGGTAAAATGAATGATTGAGAGTTGAAGTGGAAAGAGAGCTGGAGATGAGCTTTACGCCGAGAGTAGCAAGTTGTTAGGTGTAATAACAATTAGTGGTGAGTTAGGACTTGAGATGCACAACAGTAACTATTGTGCGATTTTTTGAGTTCATTTTAGATCCTATTTTGATAATTCAAATTGTTTACTTTTTAGAATATATCAGTACAACATTGATATAAAAAAATCAAATTGATTGGATATTAATAATAGTTCTTTAATCAAATCACATATGTATTAAGTTTTATTCTTAAAATTGAACTTATCATTCAGTTTCTCATTAGTCAATTAAATTTTATATAAATATATTGTACTTGATGTAATTTAAAAAATAAACGATTGAAATTATCAAAATAAGATCTAAAGTGAACCTAAAAGGCTACACAATGGCAGCCACCCTGACTCCACTGAGTGAAAACTTAAATTTGAGTTAGTTAAAATTCTGAGTCAAAACATTTTAAACCTTACTTAAATCTTGAATGAAAACTTAAATTTGAGTAAGTTAAAATTCCATCCACTCATTTATTGACATCTATACAAAATTTAGTTGTACTCTAATTTTGACTCAATTCAAGGGAGATACATCCCTTTTTACTCAAATTTCTATGCAATCAGAGCTTGACATAGTTGCTTTTATCCAAAATTTTCAAATTATCGTTCACTCCAATTCCTAGCTACAACCACTCAAAACTTGACAATTTGGACTTAAATTTGAAATTTTCCATTGAAATATAAAACCTCATAATATTATAATTTTTTACTTAAACTCATACCTCATTTTCAGTAAAACTACAAAGGGTTGGAAATAGATTTAGAAAAATAAGTGGTATGGATAGGGTTAGTGATGGGCTACTGAAGATGGGGAAGAAATGCAAAGGAAGAAGAGAGAGAACAAATAGAGCAATTCCATCTTAGAAAATAAAATAGTGAAAAAAAAAAATCTATATATATAAGATCATCGCATATGGTAAATAGTTGGCCTAATTTCAGCATTTCTGTAAGTAGTACACCCAAATTGAATAACATTGGCCTAATTTCGAAAACATCTCAACCCAAGCATTGCCCTAAATTTTAATTTCAATCACAATGCCCTAATTTCCAGCATTCACATTCTGATTTCTGTGTGCGTGTATATATCGCATATGTATGTATGTGTGTGTGTGTAAACAGAGAGAGACCGAAAGAGAGAGGGAGATACAGAGAGAGTGAGAGACATATGCGAAATAGAGGACATATCTGGGAGGGAGACTATGCGATGATCCTGATGAACTTGCGGTGATGGCGATTTTTGTACAAAGCTATAGAGAAGAGGGCAGAGGTGTGAGTGAGACCCAATCAAAAACTAATGTAAACAGCGAGTGAGAGAAAGATGGAAACCGAGAGGCCATACAGAGAAGGGGAAACAAATCGAGAGGGAGATAGGGAGAGAGAGAGAGAGAGGCGAAATAGAGGACATACCTGGAAGGAGGCGAAATGGAGATGGAAACAGCGCAAGTGACAGAGGTGGGAGTGAGAGAAGGAGGGAAATAAAATCACGAAATGTTTATTCCTGACCAAACTTTATTTTGGTCGGTAATATATTTATGAAAATTAAATATTCCCTCCAAAATCGATTTTGGCCCTTTTGGCTACTGAATTGTAGTCGGAAAAGAAAACAGATTTAGTGACCAAATTTTAAATAGTCACCCAAACCCTATTTTGCACGACTAGCACACATTTGTAGCCAAAAAGTCATCAATAATATCTCCGAAAAGGTTCTTTTCCCTGACTAACACAGAATTAGTAGCGAAAAATTAAATGAAAACCAATAAAAAAAATTTATAATTTATAATGACAGTGCAATTAGCGACCAACATCATCTTTAGTCGCCAAAAGTGAAGACAATTCCGACAACATGTATATTTAGTAGCAAAAAAGTGGTCTTTTACCGACCAAAAAGGTTTGGTAGCTGATGCATGTACCTTTGGCGACCAAATGTTGTTTGGTAGCTAATCTGTCCACCATTGGCGACCAACTTTATTTTCGTAGCTAATTGGTAGACATTTGGCGACTAAATTTACTTTAGTCGGCAAAAGTAGTCGCCGAATGTGTTCTTTGTTGTAGTGCCGGGACCTTACAATAAAAATTAATGTTAGAACCCAACCCGGCATGGCACGGCTCAACCGGGTGAGGCGCGTGTGGTGGTTTGAGCCAAAGCCCACTTTATCCATAACTCCTCCCGTTTATAAAAGTAAAAACTTGGACCCTTATATAGTATCGAGGCCTTTTCCAGGATGGTGAGATCCTTAGCAGAATTCCCCAGTTAAGCGTGCTTAGGCTGGAGTAGTTCTGGGATGCGTGGCCCAAAGTAGACAATATCGATGACATGTGATGGGTTGGGGTGTTACACTTTCGATCGCTCGAGCGATGCGACCAAATTCTAGAATTTCTAGATTTCAGTTCCAAATTCAAATCCAATTTCAAAGTACCAAAACACATTCTTTTGGGCCAAAACTTGAAGAAACACTTAGAAACTTGTAAAAAACCATGAAATGAAGTTCAATTTATAAAATCAAAGCCCAAATCTTTAACTTAATGTATAGCATAGGCATGTATTGTTTTAAGCTCAAACTCTTTAAATCATGAACAATTAGGATGAAATGGTATAAATCATGATAAATTTTCAAACCATAGCTAGGATTATTATATGCATGCAAGAATTCTTTGGGAAAGCAACCTCAAATGCAATGAAATATACATGCATGTATGTATTGAGCTTTAATCATTCAATTTTAGCTTAATTCTTGTATTTAACCACCCAACTCTCTTGAATTCATATACTGAATGTCCTAAATACAAAATTGAAGAGTATAATTCTTACCTAAGCTTGAATTCAAGTGTGTTTCTAACTCAAAGCTCTAAATTGTCTTCAAATTCCACCAATTCTTCATTTTCTCTTCTTTGATCTCAAATTCTCTCTCTCTCTCTCTCTCTCTCTCTCTCTCTCTCTCTCTCTCCATGTTTTTGGCACTAAAGAGATAAAGTGTAGAGTGTATAAGGAATGTTCTTGAGGCAACATTAGTCTTATATAGGTTTAATTAGTGATAGTTAATTAATCTTGATTAGCCTTAGCTTCATTTAATCAATTTATTCTAATTAGTTGGTTCCGAATCGAATTCCAATTAAACTTACCATAAAATTTTAAAAATTCAAATTAACATATTGATGTAGTCAATTTCATATTTGAATGTCGATAAGTCCTTCAATTAACAGAACAAAGTAGAATTCTGAACATATATTCTTACGGCTAACAGATGGGAATGCAAAACACATACAAAATGCATATTTAACCAATAATCCCATTCTTAAAACTTAATGAGCATTCTTAATCATGGATTATGGGTTTATTACGGATCGGTGTTGTTACAATGAGCTAGGCTGGAGTATGATGGACTATACTTTCCTCCTTTTGGATTTGCACATGCAAATCTCCCCACTATCATCATGTGGCATGAGTTTATAAAATATTAAAGGCATTAATTCTTAGTTATTTTTCATTTTTTTTTTAAAACAATTATATGCTGAAATATGAACATGCGTGCCATTGAACAATTTGGATAGAAATAGTTTCGTGTTAAGGTCAGATTAGTTCTTTAGAGGTTGTTTGGGATGTCCTAAATAAGTGTATTTTTTGACTTTTTAAATTAAAAAGTTGAGGGAAAAATATAGTTATTTGAGTTAATTTTTTGACTTTTATTTGGGTTAATTTTTTTGACTTTTATGGAAAAATGTGTATTAAAAAATTGTATAAATTAGTGTGTAGGGAAAAATTATGATTGAGAGTTGTGCAGCCGTAATTTTTTACTTTTGGTGAATAGTGATAACTTTTTAACTTTTTGAATAATTTTTTAACTTTTTGACCACATGTCAAACTTGACCTTAGTGTGCACAGTCGCCTTAACCCCTACAAACTCCAAATATATTACCCACCCCCCAACAAAAAAAACACTCCAAATATATATGATCTCTTGGGAAATTCTACTTACACTACTAATTTAATTTTTTACTCTCAAAAATCAGTTTTTTTATTTTATAATTTCTATAATTCTTTTATTATCATCATTCCTAACTTTTTTTCTTTCTCCTATTGTAACGCCTCCAAAATAATACAATAAAGATAACTCATATGCGGAATAAATATGAGAAACAACATACTTTCATATATCAGAGTTCACTGTTTAACAACCAGTGATATGCCATGTAGGTATACATCTTTCCAAGTCATTGCTTGGTTACACAAATTGAGTCTCGCTCATTACAACTTAAGCCCTTGGCTTTACAAATAACAAACATACACACATAAAGCATAAATAAGAAACTCTTGCTTCCCGAAAGTCCATTCACCTTATTGCCTTGGAGGAAACATCTCACTTGTACCTGAAAATGATATTCCCGTATAGGGTGAGCCAACAACCTAGTAGAGATAATCTAATATAATATATGAAGTTAAACAAAGGTATAAATACTACGTACATAAACAATACCGATACCAAAACATTTACAAGGCCTGCATATTCATATGCCACTAACACCAAACCTCATTTTCATTTCCCTTCAATTCATTTCAAGTTCATATATACTACTCAATTCATGAGTTAAATTCATTAACTTTCAACAACCAAAGTGAAACTACAACTCAATGGTTTTCCAACTATGCAAAATACACATAAACACTTCAAACCTTGCCATATTATGGATATTTCGTCTGAAGGAACCGGCACCCATTTATATATGAAATTTCGGGTCTTTCACTCAGGACACTCCGGCCAACTTGTTTAAAATGGAATCCATCCCCTTTTTCCTTCCAAACAAATATACATATGCAATGTATTTATAAACATAATTACATATGGAGTACATCCCCTTTTTCCTCCTAATAAATATACATATATAATGTATTTATAACATAGTCATACATGAGTACATCCTATTTCTCCTCTTAATAAACATACATATAAAATGTATTTATAACATGGTCATATTCAATGACACCAACAATGAATTAGCATTAAATCGCCTAATTCTCATGCAATTTCTACAACAATCATACCTATCCTCCACCGATAGTCCAATACAATTATTTCTAAGAGATATTCAATCTCAAAATAAATAGTTTATTCAAAACTTCCATAGGTGAGATATTACATATCCATTATTACCATTTATAACCACAACCTTCCAATTTCACATTTTCAATGTTAATCCCAATTATTTATACAAAATAATAATTTAATCAAAATTAGGGCAAAATCTCCCTCTTTCCAAATATCAACCCAAACACCAAAATCAACTATTTTGGCACAATATGATCTTATATTCAAGCCTCATACTCATTTATCTCATAACTCTTTCCATTTACACCCAAATCCTAAATTTGTTCAAACCACAACCATATCTCATCATCTATACACAATAACAAATAACTAAGCTAAAAATCATATTAAAGTGTAGAAATTCCCTACCTCAAGTGTAGAAGACGAACAAACAAGATCGAAATTTCAAAGATGACGAAATCAACCCTTACTTGGATCAACACGAAGCTCTTGAAGCCCTCTACCTTATTCTCAAAGACACTAGGGTCAAGAACTCAATGAATGTAGATGAAACCTTAGAGAGAAGGTGACTTCTAGAGAGAGAAGCTGCTGATTTAGGGTTTGGGAGTGAAAAAGGAGATAAAAAATGCAGCAAAATGGCGCTGCTGTGTACTGATGTAAACTAGGCTCGCTCGAGCGAAGGAGTTCTCGCTCGAGCGACTAGACACAAAAAGGTCGCCTCGCGCAAGAAGTATCGCTTGAGCGTAGAATGCAAGGCTTCAGGTCTGCCAACCAACGCAGATGCACGCTCGAGCGCAGGAAGCCTCGCTCAAGCGAAGAAACATTTTCACAGGGCTCGCTCGAGTGCAAGAAGCCTCGCTTGAGCGAAGATGCTAAAATCTAGGCAACACCCATCTGTACCAAAAGACAACCAACCTCTTCCAAACTCGCCCAACAAGTCCCAAAACTCAAATTCAAAGAATTAAATGGAGGAAATAAGACATAGACAATACTATATAATCACGGAACCCGAGTTCGGAACACAATAAAAGTCGGAGTAAAACCGGGATCGCTATGCCTACTCGTTACACCCAAAACCTAAAAAAACCTTCAACACCTATCATCACCTTCGACAACCATTCCTTCCAACGCCCATCTCTGGCAACTATTGCTGCCAACTCCGATTTCACTTCCATCTCCTTCCCAACCGACGACCCCCTTTCATTTACTAAAATCTTCGTTTCTCCATTTCGATGACCCCTCTGACGACCTCCTCTACCATCGCCAATCACTGCCAACCCTCTTTACCTCACACCACTACCCCAACCCTTCTATGACAGTCTCCACATCACCGTCCACCCACCGTTGGTGCCATCACTACCGCCTCATTCTCTCATCTTCCTCCTCCTTCTTCCGAAACCCTAACCTTTTTCTCGTCATCTTTTTCTTTGTCTCTTGAAACCCTAACCTTTCTCTCATCTTTTTCTTCTTTCCTACTCCAAATTGAGCATATCTGGAGAAATCATAGCTCAATTTAGTGCGTTATCTTTCTCTCTCTAGTGCGATCTGGGTATGAGTTTGCAAAGATTGAGTCAGTGGGAAGGAACCCTCTCTCTCTCTCTCTTCAGTGCAATCAAGATCTGGGTTTGTAGAGATTTGGGATTGGTGGGAAGGAAGGGGTGGTTATGGAGATGGAAAAGGGGTTTGTAGAGGTTTTCTTAGGGTTTGAAGAGGGTGGCCAGTGTTAGAAGGAAATGAGAGAAGAAAAATGAGGAGGAAGAGAAAAAGAGGTAGAGAGGGATTGGTGGCTGGCAGCGTGAGAAGGGAAGGAGGAAGAGAAAGAAAGGGGTCGGATTCTGACGTTGTACTATCCGGGAAAACTAGGGTTAGGGTTTTTTAGGTTTTGTGTGTGGGGAGAAAGAGAAGGAGAAGATGAAGGATAAGGATAAGAAGAAAGAGAAAAAGAAAGGTTACGGATAAGAGTACTAAAGGAATTATAGAAGTTATAAAATAAAATAAAAAAATTAAATTTTAAAGATGTAAGGAGTTAAATTAATTAAAATTTCCCTTATCTCTTATGTTGAATACAAATTTCTTTATTTGTTTAAAAATAATTGAACAATTTTTGAAAGACGAATATATCCTTAACTCACTGCATTTTACCTTCTAGAAATGACTTAGATTCAATTAGTATATATTTTGGGAAAAAGAAAAATATGAATTAGCCTAGTGGCTTTTGTTAAGCTTTTTGAAAAAATGGAAAAAATATTCCATACAAGTAATCATTTTTTTCCTTTATTCATTTTTAATGATTTGTCCCTTACCATCATATCACAAATTTCATCCACACAATCATTTTTTTTTAAGATACAAAATTTACAATGCATGTGGTCAGGGAAGAAATTGGGAGAAAATTATGAGATGTCGTAACTCTTTATTTTTGTGAAAAATATTATTTGTCATAACATTTTAAATATATATATATATATATATATATATATTATTTTATATATAAAATGACCTCCTAATATAAAAAAAAAAATATATCTTATTTTTCTTCTATTTTGCATTCTTTTTCTATTTTGCACAAAAAAACTTCTTCATCCTATTAGAGATTATTTCTATGGTATTTTTTTTCTTCTATGTATATATAATTTATAAATAATATTATACATACATGTGTGTTTGTGTATATGGTAAAAAATATATTTTTCTTTTGGCCCTTCCATAAATGAAATTCTGGTTCCATCCTTGCATGTTGTAATAAAAAAAAAAAAAATTATGTTGGTGTACTAAAAGAATTATATTTTAACATAAATCATGTTCACATCTCAATATAAGAGTTTGACATTTTTTATGTTGTCATCTCAATTTGAGAGACTTTTTGGATTTGGTAGGCCTTTGGTGGTATGAACCATTCACTTTTATGGAGTTGTTGAGTAAAATATTTATGCAAAAAATAAGATGATTAGATATCAGTAGTTATATGTTTGAATTATATTTGTTTTAAAAAAATGGACGACAAATTATATTTTAAGAATAACCATCCATTTTTGTAATACAAATTTGATTCAAACATATAATTACTGATATCCGATCATCTCATTTTTTGCTTTAATATTTTATTCACTGAAAAAAGTGAACGTTCAAATTGTCAAAATAAGACCTGTGTTGGGCTTTACGGCTCTCTTAAATTTTCTCATGTTAAGGTGTTAATATTAAAAAAATTTAACAAACTTTAGTTATTGCTAACGTTTCATTTGGTGAGACTAAAAAGTCAATTTATTGAAAAAAAAGTTTTATTTTATTAACATTATGGTATAAATATGAAAAATATAAAATATAAAATTTCATTTAGATTGAAAATAAATTAAAATATTAATATTTAAATTGAAAAATAAAAAACTATTTTTTTAATTATTCCCAAATTTACTAAAAATAAAAATAATCAAACAAAAAAGTCTTAAAAAATGGGTAGATATTACCAAAAAAAAACTTTGAGGATTTGATGTAAAATAGACCCTGACTTGTTTATTCAAATTCTAAACTCTTATTTTAATTTTAATCTAAATTATTTTGTCTATTCTTATTAAGTAAAATTGATCAAAAATATGTATTTTAATCATTTAATAATTATTTTTTATATATATTACATTGATATTAATAATTAAAATATTTTTTTTATTAATTTTACTTAACAAAAATAGACAAATGACTAAAATGTAACATAAGAAAAAGATTAAAATTTAATTTACAAAATTCAAAACACTAAATTTATTTTGTTATTATTATTATTTTTAATTGTCCAAAAAAAACAAACATGGAAACCCAAACACTTCTAACACTGCTTGCTGTCGGACTTTGGCCCCTTTCACAAAAAAGAGCGACTTATAAGTAACTTTCAATTAAAAAATGGGTAAATTACATATACACCCCTCGAGGTTTGGCTAAATTACAAATACCTCCCTGAGGTTTGAGAAATTACGAATTCCCCCTGAATGCTATATTTGCATAAGAAATTAGGGGGTAATTTGTTATGAAATATAAACCTCAGGGGGTAAATTGTTATGAAAATACAAACCTCAGGGGGTGGGATGTAATTTCCGAAACCTCAGGGAGGTATCTGTAATTTAACCAAACCTCAAGGGGTGTATATGTAATTTGCCCATAAAAAATTGATTATAACCATCGTCTTACAATAGACTTTTGCGGCCTACATTTCAACCTCCCCGTCGGGAAACCAATGGCCGGAGTTCTGAACTTCTCACCATCTCCGATTTTCAGACCATTTCCGACTCAATCACAACCAAAGACCAGAGTCTCTATCAGATCATCCGCAGAATCCTCAAAAACTCCCGTAGCGAGCACCAAAGAAGAACCAGAATTAGGGTTTTCAGATTCGTCTCCGGCAGTCTCTCCTCCACCAAACTTCAAGCCTCCGCAGCCGAATTCAGTTCTCCGTGAGACCCGACAAACTCGTTGACATCTTGGCAGCTTCTCCTGCTCCACTAATTCGACTTGGGACTGGTAGTTCTGTCTCTGGGTATGAATTTTACTTCGATTCATGTGATTTGTATTTTCTTTATTCAATGGACTCTCTAATTTTGATCCTTTAGGTTAAATTATGTATAAACTGTGGTTGCCATGTAAATTAAACGAATTTATTGATTATTCTAACAATTATTAACTTTTTGTAAAACGACAGGTATGCTTTGATTAATTTTTAAATAACTTTTAGTCTTATGTTGGGTGGTAGGACCACCATTATATATTCATAATAATTTTACTTGTTGAACTAATTTATTTGAGAGAGATTTGTACGCGGATAGGTAGAATGTACCTTCTACTATTGTGATTGGTAGAAGGTAGTGGAATAACCGGCATATTATTGGGTGTTTGGTGAACAGTAGGGGCATATATGTTTATGATTGGTGGAAGGTAGTGCCATATGGTACCCTATTGGTATACAAAACCTTTTCAATTTAGCTTTCGTTTGGCTAACTTAGTTGGGCTAAAAAAACATAAAAGACGAAATAGGTTAAATAAGTCAATAAGATAAAATGTCACATTCAAACCATAATTATTTTACTTTTTATCTCATAAAAGTCAAAAAAACGAAAAAAGCCAAACCAAACAAACTTTTTAGTCTCAAGCTAAAAAAGTCTCAACTCAAAATAGCTATAACTAAAAAAGCCAATGCCAAACGGCGACTTAGTAAACTTAATTTTAGTGATTTATATTTGTGTGGAAATTACATAAAAGAGGCTGTTTGTATTAGGAAAAAGTGCATTGAAATGTGAATTGAAGTTAAAATAATTGCAATTTTATAAAGATGCAAGTGAGTCTTTGTCCATTGCAAGTAGGGTTGCTAAATGAACCAAGTGATTTGATCATGACTTGTGTTTGGTTTGTTAAATGCTCGTTTGATATCAGTTCGTTATATAAACAAGTTAAATTTAAACACATTTTAAAGCTTGTTTAATTTTTAAGTCAAACTTGAACACCATACTACTAAGCACAATAAATTTATATGTACTATAGAAACTTGACTTGTGTTCGGCTCATTAAATGTTTGTTTAAGATCGGCTCATTATGTAAACAAGTCAAGCTTGAATATATTTTGAAGCTCGTTAAGTTTTAAGCCAAGGTAAAACAACCTAGTACTCGGCTCATTTACAGCCTGGTGAGGAAAAGAAAGAAAAGGTGTAAGGTGAGGGTTGCAAGTGAAAACTGTGGCATGAGACATATCTCATTTGCTCCAACCAACACCTCTATGAAAGTTCAATTACTTTGAATTATTCCTACTTAAATGTAATTTTCCCTTTATTTTAAAAAACACTATTTATAATCTCTTTAAGTCAAGTCGTGTTAGTTTAGAGAAAACATTCAAAGACTTATTTTATGATCTATCATACCCTATACAACTCATCTATTCTTATTTGATGAACCAAGCTTATCTCATCAAATTTTTAACATGGACCCAACTTATTTTCTAATGAATTGAAATTTATTAACTTTGGAAACAAGTTTAATTACTGAACTTCATAATTATTAGCAATAACTACTTGAACCTTTTTATAATATATTTCCAAACACGATCAACTAAGTCCCTCCAAAAGTTTGAGATGCACTAGGTGAAGGTAATTATAATTATATAATCAATAATTTTCTTATAAATTAATTAATTAGCTTAAGCTTTGGGCCTTTTCCTTTAGAATGCTAGTTTTTATATAGTTAAGTAAGGCAATAATTTAATTTGGCATTTTATTTATTTTTTAAGTAGATTAATGTTTCAATTTATTTTTTGTAAAGATTTGTAGAACAATTAAATATCTTTTTGAGCTGTAAAAAAAAAATTTCAGAGATGAAAAATAAAATTAGATATCCAAATATTTTAATTGGTTTTTTTTATTAATATTAATGCAGGTGCAGAGGTGGACTTAGGTCAATTTGTTAGAAATAATTAAAAATTAGGGAGAACTTGAAATAATGTAATTAGTTCTTATATAATTTTTGGCAGGTATTCAGCATCTCTTGTGCCAAAGAGTGAGTTTCCACCTGACAAGTATGCGCTTGAAATTGCTGGTAGTTGACAAATATTCTCATTATTTTTATTTCCATGTTGTGTAACCCAAAAGTTATTATGTGAATTTGTTTTGTTAATAGCTAGAGAAAGCTTAAACTGCTCAAAAGAAATGAAAATTAAGGTACTTAGATACTTTGTGCCTGAGGGTTTCCATCCTTCAAAATTGACATGCCTAAGATATTTTGAATTATTATTGTATGAGTATCAAGTTATTTAACTGCTATGATGTTTTCAAAATTAATGATTAAAACCATAGGACTTCATGCTGTTGCTTGATGGGTTGTAGGCATTTGCATGTTATCTTACCCACAAGTAGAAGTATCCATAATTTATATAATAAATTTAATAATTTCTAGTTTTTATTCAAATAGCTTATACATTTTTTGGTTAGTTGTTTATTTATTGAACTATTTGTTACTGTTGTTTTTTACACAATTTATTTGCTAAGTTTCTGGTCTGCATTTGTATTTCACGAACTAAAACTGAAAACAAGTCCAGTCCTCGTAAGGCATTGGTTTCTCTATAACATGGAGAATAGGCCCTGAATCAGAGAAATAAAGGAAACTAAAAGGAAGTAATATAAGGAATACTAATACAAAGAATGAAAGTTAGATGCTTGTTCTTCACTCTGCCACTTTACCTATATGTGTATGTTAGTGATTGTAATGGCATAGGTTCAGATACATTCAATGTTAGGGCATCTCCAACAGTTCATCTTATTTTTTTTATTTTTTTTTTCCCCATCAAATTTGAGTAAAAGTTCCATTTGATATCAAGTGCTCCAATGGAGGTTTTTGAAGCTTCATCAGAACACCGGATGACCGGGTGGATGTCCGGCCAGTCGACCCGCCAGTGTAATATTTTCACAAATTTTTGCCTTGAGGTGGTCATCCGGGGGATATCCGGTGGTGAAAATCCAACGGATATGAACTGTGATTTGATGAAAGGCACATTCATTCTCAATTTGATGAAAGATTTGGTATTGGGTTGGAGCAGCAAAAGTGAGTTTTTTCATCAAATTTAAATTTGATGAACCATTTGGTGAACCATTGGAGATGGTCTTAATGACTTTGTTCAGTAGCTTCTCAGGTCGTCTTTATTGTCCATAAATATTGTCCTTACCGGATTCATATTTATTTGGCCAAGGAAAAATTAGAGGAAGTAATATACGGAATACTGATACAAAGAATGAAAGTTAGCTACTTGTTCTTCACTCTGCCACTCTACCTATCTGTGTCTATAAGTGATTATAATGGCATAGGTTGAGACACATTCAATGTTAATGACTTTGTTCATTAGCTTCTCAGGTTGTCTTTATTGTCCATAAATATTGTCCTTACTGGCATTCATATTTATTTGCCAAGGAAAAATGTACAAATTGTCAACATCATTTATTAATAAACAACATGCATGATTTGAGGCTTTGACATCCATTGTATTCCTGCTAAATTATCTAATCTCTCTTTTGAATTCAATAATAAGCTCAACTATGTGTACATCACCTGAAAAGACTCTAACTAATAGCTACTGCTACTTTTGTAACTTGTGCATCTGTCTTTGTTTGTTCATGTTTTATCCAATAGCCTGGGTGGCTGTTTAAATTAACTACTGTTACTTTGTCTAATCTGTCCATCTGTCTTTTTTTGTTTGTGTTTTATTTCCAAGATGCTTCATTTAAATAGAATACCAGAAAATAAGAAAAAGAAAAATAAGAGAGTTGTTTCACAGCCTGTAAAAATTTCATTCCAAGTGGTCCCAATGATAATTTTCATACATATAGTTTATAAATGATTTCTCAGAAGTTTTTTTTTATTATTTAATTATAGGTTACACTTTTTTAAACAGGTTTCAAGTTGATGGAGACTTCAAAATTATTAGGTCCTTGCCCAGAGAAGCCTTTAGAGATATATGAGTTTGAAAGGAACTTCATTTTTAAAATCATCTTCTTCTTTTTAGGATATTGGTAGGCATTAGTTGATGTGGATGCTGACTTTGAGTTTTAGACTGTTTTGGCCTCTTTGTTTTGTACGTTGATGTGATGATTATGACTAAATGCCTTTGTGGCTTTCTCCTGATATGGATCATCATGACACAAATGGAAATTTCAGCTGCCCATTTTGCCGGAAGGTAAGAACCACCCCATGAGATTTTCTCTTGTTTTTCCTTGTGCTATTCAATTTATAATTTTTCAAGTACCTTTTTCTTTTTACAATGTAATGCAGTTTACTGTGAGACTTTAAATGATGAGCAATAGCATTAAGTCCCAGTGTTAACTGACACCATAGGTCACCATCTAAAAAAAACTGACACCACAGGCAGGACTTTAACATGGACTTTCCCATTGCAATGATGCTCACAGATGGAGCTTATTACTACAAATTATGGTTAAGTGGACATATACAAATAATGGTTAACTGGACATATTTAAAGATCATGAAGATTTCAGCCGTCTAAGTTTGGGCTCTTAGAACTGATCCAATGATTGTAATAGTATGGTATTTTAGGGCTACATCTCCCGTCAGGCTTTTCTTGGACATATTTATTGTATAATGTCCAAGTTTTATTTTGAGAATGGACATCAGGTCCATCTTGAATGTTGTATGTCTGTTGATTGCTCTATGGTAGCTCATGCTACATGCTATGCATTCTTTTTTTTGTTACACATTTTGATCAATTATAGGTCAGGGAAATTGTTGCAGTATTGGATCTTGATGTCCTGTTTTATCCTTCCTTGCCCAAGAAATGGTCCGAATTTCCGTCAAAAAGTTGCTCAGATAGGTGGAAAGCAGCTGTTCCCTTACATGGTTTGATAATAATATCCTTTTCTTTTGTTCTCCTTCTATTTGCACCTCTATTGAAGAAATACAAAACAAGAAAATAGTATGAACCTAACTACTTGGAAAAGTTACAAGGTTTTATCTGCTTACTTGGAAATATTGCTAGAATAACAAGATGAGTAGTAATCCTCTATTGGTAAAATTCTGAACTTTAGGGATCAATTTTCTGCTTTAGAACCGTGATTTCAGGGTTTAGAGCAAGAATCCAGTTAGTATCACATTCCCATTGAGATGGAATTGTGGTTCCATCTGGAATGGGTCTACTCTCAAACATATTAATTTCCAAAGAAACAAAAGGGAAACTAAAAAATAAAAAATGTAAGGAACATATATTGATCTATTTAGAACATATATTTACCCAAGATTTTGGCCTTTCTCTTAGAATTAAAAGATGAGGATTTTTTAATAGATTTTTCAATTTGGATTATATGAGGAATGAGGAGTAAAAAATATATGGTAGTGTTTGGTAGAGCTTTCTAAATATGATTTGAGAATAGGAGTTGTATTTTGAGTTTGTGAGTTTTGGAATTACGATTTGAGTGTGGAAAATTTGTTTGGTGAATGAGTTTTGAAAAGAGTTTTGAATTGAATGGGAAATTTTTGATGTGACATATGATATTTGACACAAAAACTTATACCTCATAACCAAGCACACAACTCAAAATTTTATTAACATGTGCCATAAATTTTTTTTGATGTAACATATGATATTTGATACAAAAACTTATAACCAAACACACAGCTCAAATTTTTGATATGACATATGATATTTGATACAAAAACTTACAACTCAAAAAATTTTAAAAAATTTCGAAAATATTTTTTGTTGAATATATAAAAATTAACATGTGTCAATTGCCACCAAAAAAAAAAAAATTGTAATGTTTCGGTCAACCGGCCGGATGACCAGTTAGCCCAAATTTTTCTGCCTTTGACCGAGTTTTCAAAAGTGAGCGTGGAATTAATTTTTGAAAGCTGCAAACCAACACCACGTGAAAACCAATGACTGGAACTAAAGTTCCAAAGCTCTACCAAACGGAGCCTATGTTATTGCTATTAGTTGTCAAATCGTGAATAGAAATGGCCTTGTACCAAATCGAGAATCGAATCGTGAATCGTAAAGATTTGGCCACTTTTTCTAAATTACTTAGAAAAACATATCTATACATTGGATGCTAAATATATCTTATAAATATAAAAAATTTAGACTTAAATCAATGAAAATGTTATTTTGAATGATATTCACATGATCTAATAGGTAAGAAGTTAGTTCCCTTGTAAGATTACCGTCTTACCTTTTTTTCAATATTACTTATCAACTATTCTTAATAAAGAAAGTTAATAAGACAAACTCTCAATTAACAATGATGTTGATATTTCATAAGCATACGTGCCTTTACAAGTAACAATGACCAAATAATAAAGAATTTGCAGAACCATTAGGCTATGTAATATTGAAATATATTTATTTCAATAAAATAGCAATAGATAAATTCATATTGCAAGTTATTTTAACATAAAACATCTTTAGAATATACATTATGTTTTTTTTTTTTTTTTTTTTTTATTACAATTTTTTGAAGGGGACAAAAATGAGAAGAAAGGTTAAAAATATGTTAGGTCTGACTGAATCTGATTGGATCCTATAAAAAACTCCATGATCACTAAAATAACAACAAACCATATAAATATGTTGATTATTTTTGGTATTAAATGTTATTAGAAGTTGTATTATGTCATTTTCACTAAAAAGATGAAAAAAATGAGTCGAAAATATGTTGAACACAATAATTTTAAAAATTGCATGAATCGTAAAAAGTGAATCGAATTGTGAATCGATTGTGAATTGATTCACTAGAGATTCACTTCCAAAATAGATTCACTCATAGATTCGTATCGATTTTGTAAAATTTGTGAATCAAATCGTGAATTGAATCGCAAATCGTAAGATTCTGATAACAGAATTTGCTAATAAATTGTTACGTTTGTAATGAGAATTTATTATGATTATGTTTAACAATTTTAAGTGCTCGTGCAGTGTATAGATAGACATTTAATATATATTATAACTAAGGAAAAAAAAAAAAATTCTTACAGTATATTTATATATGATAATCCTTTCAACTCTCTTATTTCACAATGAATAAAAATGAACACAATGATCAGACAAGTTTTAACTTATCCCGACTAGATGCAGCATACCAAATCTCCATAGAACTGACATATTAAAAAAGCAGCAAGTGCAACTATGTCCACTATGTCCCCACTATTTCTCTACCAATCTAGTCTATCACCTCTCTGATTATTACAATGCAGAATTCATAAAATAGCCGCAGGTGGAACTTAGTTGTATGAAACGGGAGAAGGAGAAGGGGCAAGGTCGAGGAATAGAGGCACATAGAAAATACCAAGATTGAGAGAGTTTAGAGGAATGTTTATGTATTTGTACATAAATATATTGTAAGAGATTTTTTTTAGGTGTATTATATTAAGGCACTATTTGGCATAAACTAAATAAGTGCACTTGCCAAAATCCCAAATCTATGTGCTTTCTAATGATAATTTTGACATAAAAAAAGAAAATGGCATACAGAGGAAGAGCATCTGAGTTGACGATTGAACACAAGATTATCATGAGTTGACGCCTCCCAAGATTGAACACAAGATTAGTGGAGATAATTGAAAGGAACTGAGCCAGAAGCTTTTCTGTGAAGATTGATTTGGGAGGCGTCTTCTGGGTGACGGAAGCTTTGCAAGAGGCGTGGAGAAGATTCAGTGAGGGAGTTTTCTTTAGCAGTATAGAAGTTGTTCTGCTGTGTTCTGCCTTCAAAGGTTCAATAACCAGAGGGGGGCATTTGTTGAGTTGTCTAATTGGATGGCAGGGATTAAAAGGAGCAACATCGTTATTCCGGTGGGGGTTGATGGACAAGGGTGGATAAATACAGTTGAGTTGCTTGACAGGACCATTCATGGAGGCAACAAAGGTAACGAGGTGGTCAAGGATGATAGGGGAGGTTTTAGGAAGAATCAGTTCTCAGGGCCTCACAAAGAGGAGGCCAATGCAGGGGAATTTAGAAGCCAAGAAACAGGGACAAACAGAGGTTGATCTTACGCTAAGTTGTTTAAGGTTCAGTCATCATGTTCGGCAATGAATAGCACTAGCATTGATTTGGATCATGCGGTAGTTTGCACTAGAACTGACTTTTTTTATTAAGGCGAACTTCACTTACCCCCTATGATTTAGGCCATGTGCGGATTACCTCTGATGTTCTAATATCACCACATAACCCCCTGTGGTTGATGGGGTAAAGTGCGCAGTTAGTTTTTCCATCTATTCTAACAGGCTGTGCAGTAACTGATGATGTTCCCTCACAATTAAAAGACCAAAATGCCCCTAGAGTTACAAATAAAAGCTGACCCAAAAAGATTGCTTGTGTGTTTCAACTCCTATGTTTATTACTGATTGAATTTGCCAAAAAGCTATGATCTTTTATCCTAAAATTCAACCTTTACATAAGATTTCAGCTTGCAGAATATAATATATTTCCCTAACAATTACATGAATTTGAAAGGACGAGTGATTCAAAGATCATGCTGAACAAAATCACAAAATCACAAAAATCAAAATCAAGTTCATTCTCTCTCTCTCTCTCTCTCTATATATATATGGATCCATTTCATTTCTGTTGTATATAGTGACTCATATATGTGTTAATTGATTGCAGATAGAGTTTTGTGATCGGAATCAATGTATATATATGTATATATAATCTGTAGCTATATATATGTTGGGAATATGGTACAAGAATAAAACTGTAGCTATATGTATATAATCTGTAACTATATATATATATGTATAATCTGTAGCTATATATAATCTGTGACTTTGATTTCTTCTTTGATTTCTATGTATATGTATATGTATATATGTATATATATAATCTTCTTTCATTTCTCTCCAAAAATTTTAATCTTCTTCGTATATATATATATATATATATATTAGAAGGTTGTTCTGAGCACCTAGGAAGCACGGGTGTGGGTACGAGTATGGTACGGGTACGGGTACGAGTGCCGGTACGTCGATACGGCAAAACCTCAAAAAAGTATGATACGGGTACGGCTGCGGTACGCCGACATATTTTTTTATAATTATGGTTAAAGGATCCAACCTACAAATTAAAATTAAATATCAAAACTAAAAAGAGAATTATAAAACTAAAAGACAAATA